GTCCCGATGGGTATTATTTGCCCTCCTTCCCCTCTGCTCAGATTCTTACTTGAGTCGCAGTAGAGTAGGAACTGGTGAGGCAGCAGGTCCTCACTGCCAGTTATGTCCTCAGTTTAGAGCGTGAGGAAGCACAGGGTGCAGGTGCTGTGGAACACACTGCTATGGAAAAGTCTTCTGGTCTTAGGCACATGGAACATGTGCACTCATAGGGACCGTGCATCTTGAACTCCAGTAACTATATGGTAAGTAAACTCCATTTTCCCATGCTAAAGCCAGCTTAGCATAGCCAATACTGGCATTGTATCAAATTTAAAAATCAATTGAGGCTTAGAAGTAGGGCTACTTCAGGTCTACTAGCACAGCAAAGATCACTAGAAACTGAATATGGTGTCCAGAATAATCTTTCAAAATGAATAAGCCTTCATACGGTAAATACTCTTTTCCTTCACGGCAGCAAGAAAGTTGTGAGCACATCAGGACTTTCAGTTTCTGGGCACCTAGTCCCCTGCATTCATCTCACCTTGGGTAGTTTCTTTTGGAAGTCCCCCTTATGTCAGGAGTTCTTGCTGCAAAAACATTTGAGGTTAGTGGCACAGAGATTGATTCAGCTCTGAGGGATAGATGTCTGAAGTGAAAGGAAAGTCAGAAAACAATATTTAAACAGGATCAACTGTCTTACATATTACCTAAGAGCATTCTCATTTTCTTGGTGCGTCACGGATTTAGCACTTCAGCTACATACTATATTAGTTAATTTATTAAAGAATGAATGGAACTTTACCACTGTAGGTTTAATGCGGTGCCTAGCAGATTTCTAGTGTATCTACTTGTCACAGGATCCTTGGGGTGCAACCTGGGACTGTGGGGGCATTGTGCCCCCTCTGCTCATTATTCTGAGTTGTCTCTCACAATGCCTTACTGGTGGCAAGAAGCAAATCCCTTCAAGTGCTGTTACCACTCAGTACAACCGCATGTGGAGTCCCACACCCAGCTAGATTGCATAAATGCCCCCAGAGTCACTCATGACTCTCACAGAGAAAGCTACCAGCCAAATCCCACCAGCTCCCAGCCTTGTACCTTAGGAATATACTGTCTTGCACTGCTCAAGACCCTTTCTTGAGCAATGCAAATTTATTAATTGGTTCACAACTTCATCAATGAAAAGTGGACATGCACCAGCCTTTGTGACCTGAGCAGATTTGCCAAACACTTCAGACAAACTCTCTGGTAAAGATAAGCAGTAAAACAAGTGTATTGATTACAAAAGCTAGATTTTAAGTGATTATGAGTGATAGGCAAAAAGAGTGGTTACCAAAAAAAAAAAAAGGAAAAGAAAATATAAGCATGCAGTCTAAACTCTCAACCCTGTTAGACTGGGCAATGTCTGAGTCAGGGGTTGGCAACCTTTAGCATGCAGCCCATCACAGTAATCCACTGGCGAGTCGCGAGACATTTTGTTTATGTTGACCGTCTGCAGGTACAGCTCCCAGTGGCTGCGGTTTGCTGTTCTCGGGGTATGGGAGCTGCGGGAAGTGGAGGCCATCATGTTTCAGCAGCTCGTTGTGTCCCTCCGTTCTCATTGTCCGGGAACAGTGAACCGTGGCCACTTGGAGCTATGGGGGGCTGTGCCTGCGGACTGTCAACATGAACAAAATGTCTTGCAGCCTGCCAGTGGACTACCCTGATGGGCTGCTTGCCAAAGGTTGCGGACCCCTGATGTAGATTAAGCAGTTTTTCTCACCTCCCTGGATATTGCAGGTTGGTTACAGTCTTTAATACACAGGCTTTTTCCCTCTTAGCTTGTGGACCAGTCTCTTCAGCTCCGGCATTCTCATTGCCTTCCGCGTAGGTGGGGGAGAAGAGAGAGGACAAAGCATGCGGCCATTGTGTTGTGTTTTATATCCTTAGTTCATGTGACTGGAGAACATATGTCCAGGCATGTCTGTTGGGCATTGCTAAGTCATCAGGCAAGGTTGAGCAATTCCCTTGGTGTGGCCTTGTGCAAGTGAGTCATTGAATTGTAAGTCTCTTGCTGGACAATGGCTGATGTTTGTTCAGCACCCACCTGAGCGCGGGTTATCCCCCTTCTTACTGTCTTTGGGGAGCTAGTATCTGGGTGCTTCCTAAACTCTCAGCATATTTTAATGAGAAGCATACAGTGCAATTCTCATAACTTCATATGCATTAATGGTATACATATTTAGATGGAACAGTGGGTTTCAGCAGATCATAATCTTTCCCATGATACCGTACATGGCATGCTTTATATGCAATATTACAATTAGATACAAATGATGAATATGGGGGTTGCAGGGCGTTCCCCCATGGTGTAGAGTGTCGCAGTGTTGCTTTCAGGACTTAATCTGCCCTGGAGAGGGGACAGGTGGTGGTAGTTTATTTTTTTATACAGTGCTGTGGTACACATGGTGCTTCAGTCATTTAAGAACAGTCCTGGCCCCAAATAATTTACAGTCTGCAAAGGCAAAGTATGCCCAATAAATGTGGAAAAGGATACAGATTGTCAGCCTAAAGAGCTCCTAGTATTTCAAAAATTGTTAGAACACCCATATGACGGACTTTAAAGAGAGAGAGAAGAAGGAAACTGATGCATCGTATCGCTAATAAGTAACTAGTGCTGTTGTCCACATATGATGATTGCTTCTGTTTGTAAAACACATAATTTGTCAGAATTTTGTGGAATAAATTCTTAATCTTAGGACAAGTGTTAACTATGAAATGGCACTGGCATAGATGTGTAATTTTGTGGAATCTGGTGAGCTCTGCACAGTTTATTCGTAAAGCAAAGAAAGCATATTATTGTAATTTAGCATTTATGATCCCAACACTGTATGACACATAGTACACCAATAAAAATGCTAGATAGAAGCACTTGTATACTTGTGCAAATGTATTTATTTTATGCCAGAAAACCAGCATTAAGAGAATGTTACAGTTGTGTAGTTAGAGCAGTAGTTCCCAAACTGGGGTTCATGAAATTTTACAGGGGGTTCTCGGGGGAAAAAATTCCCTCATGGTGGACAGAGCTGTCCCTGGGAGCCTTGGGCAGTACGACTTCCAAGAGCTAAGCAGATCAAAGCAAGCATATCTATCACACTGAGGAGATTTAAACTTCAAGACTCCTTATAAAAAATGGAAAGGGAGGTGGATATTTCTTGCTGTTTTTAAAATTAAATAGGCAGCTAGTATTGTTTTTAAAATTATTATGAAGAACAAGTTTAAGCTTTGTTGTAACATGTGGTGTTTGCCTGGACTGCTCAAGAGCTGAATGCTTGTGTAAGAGGAACTCTGAATTGGCTTCTTAAATACCTTCATGCTGTTTCACATCTGATACTCACTGATGAAACATAGAAGCCTTGTCTTATAACAGGCTTATTCAAAGTGATACAAGCTATGAAAGTGAGATCTTGGAAGAGTGTTGCCATTTTCATAATGTAATAAAAATACTGTAATGATTAAGAATAATAAATAGTGTGTAATAAGCATGTCATAAAAACAAAAATTTTATATTTCCAAGATCACTGCTTTTATAATTTATACTCAGGTAAAGGAGAAAATCTCTGGAAATAATAATTTTAGGAGAGGGTTCGCGAGACTTTACATTTTAGTGAAAGGGGTTCACAGATTGTTAAAGTTTGGGAACCACTGTGTTAGAGAATTTGGAAGTCATGAAATGTGAGTGCAATGTTGTTTTGCCAACTTGAACTGGAATGGGTGAAGAGGGATTTAACATGTAACTCTTCATAGGGGCTTTTAAAAAACATATGGGCTATGTAGAGTTTGATTTGGTTGTTTTTAGTCATTTTTGTTTTGCTGACTTAAATACGGTATGCAGCATGAAGCTCACAATGTGGTTACCGACAGCGTTTGTCTCTCAGCTAAAGATTGGAAATAATATATTGCTGTCAGAATCTATGAAAGCATAATGTAACTGTCATTTCCCTCCTACTCATCCTTTCAAGGAGAATTCACTTTCTTAAAGTAAATGGGGGTGGGGGTGTTATTACAAAATATGGTTATAGCAGACTTTTTCAAATATTAAAAATGGTCCACAAACCCTGTTGATTGACAGAAGCTACTGTACTTCAGGATAGCATTTAATTGTGTTAAGTAGAATGTTTTAATAAAGAGTGGCCAGTAAATATTTTCATGAAATGGATTTTTCTAGGAAGGATAGATATCAGCGTGTAGGTGTTTTAAATACCATCCATTCTGTACAGTTGTTGTTACATAATGAAAGCTATTGTGAAAAGCCATGAAGAAGTAATGCAGATTAGGAATACATTTCTGTGTGGGAGGAAAGGGTATGTGTGTAGTTTTCTGACTTTTTTTTTTGCAGCCTGTGGTCCATTGTAGTATAGTAGCTTAACGATTATTATTTAGAAAAAATTGTGTTGAACATTAGCAAGCCCATGTGTACATGCAAATGTCAGAATTGTTCAACTATACACAAGTGTACAGGTACCACATTCATATGTTTGTACCTGCAGTATGTGTGGACATGTGCACATGAGGGCTGAAAACATTTCTTGAATGTCCAAAGAAAAGAGAAATAGAAGGAAAACAGCCATTAATACACATTACATTTAATAATATGTGCAAGTGTGTCTCCAAGGATATAACGTATAGCATATACTCATTTATGTATTTCTTGACACCTTTAAACACTAGCAAATGTTGGAAAAATGTGCTGCACCTGGCTTCAAAGCAATTGCATTGGTAAAATTCTAGGTGGATCGCAAAAAAAAATCTTATTTTCTGTCCAAGCCCCTTTCTTTGTAAATGCAAATGGAATGTTGGCTGCCCCACACTCACTCCAATGTGCTATATAAAATATCTGCAGTAATTCCACTGGAGCAATCACTACATCAGTAGTCTCTAAACATCTGAGATGTCTTATGAATATTGGGTTTTAGTTGTATTTCAGTTTTTAAAGGCTTGTCCAGAGTATTTTTGTCATTACTGTTTCTTTTTATCAGCAGCAATGCAGCAAGTTTTGGATAATCTTACTGATCTGCCCATATCAACAGGAGCTGAAGAAATAGACCTTATTTTCCTCAAAGGAATTATGGAGAACCCTATTGTAAGATCACTTGCTAAGGTATTTTGATGTATTGATAGCTTTAATTAAATTTGACACTTTGCATATTTTTACTTGGAATATTGTCAAGTCAAGAAGTCTGACTGGTAGTATAAATTAATTTTATCCAGAGCATATCTACCACTGGTGGACTTAAAGGAAATTGTGAGAACAGATTTAATCTTGGACCTGCTTGACTTGATCCTTTCTCCATCTATTGAACTCAGTTTCATTTCTAGCATTTAGAAAAGGGATTGGAATATGGAGGATGAAAATAAGTTTATTTATCATTAGTATTATCAAAGAGCCTAGGAGTCCCAGTCACGAACCAGGATCCTACTCTGCTGGGCACTGTACACACAGAACAAAAAGAGCTTGCAATCTAAAAAAAAGAAATTTTTAGATAGATATAGACAGACCAACAGGTAAGTACAAGAAACATTACTAGTCAGTGTGATAGGCTGTAGGCTCAGCACACCAGCAGCCTTACCATTGTCAGGTTTTTGTACACACATCATCAAAGGAGAATTTTAAGGAGGGAATTGAGGGAGAATGAGTGAGTTTTGTAGATGTCATGGAGCCTTTCTTCCAAGCATGAAGGGATAAAACACAAAGGAGGTTGTTTGAAAGGTTGTTGGTGCTGCACAACATTTTGATTAGTTTTATATCATTCTAGTTTTTTAATGTGGCACACACAAATGGATTAAAAACTGGCTGACAGGTCTCAAAATGTAATCGTAAATGGGGAATCATCATTGAGCAGGTGTATTTTCAGTGTGGACCAGCAGGAATTGATTCTTGTCCCTATGCTATTTAACATATTTATCAATGACCTGGAAGAAAACAAAATAATCACTGATAGTTTGCAGTTGACACAAACATGGGGGAGGGGTAAATGAAGAGGACGAGTCAGATTCAGGGTGATCTGGATGGCTTGGTAAACTGGGTGCTAGCAAACATTGTGTGTTTTGATAGAGCTAAATGTAAATGTATACATCTATGAACAAAGAATATAGGACATATTTACAGGATGGGGCACTCTATCTTGGGAAGCAGTGACCCTGTAAAAGATTTGGGGGTTGTGGGAAGTAATCAGCTGAACATGAGCTCCCTGTGTGACACTGGGGTCAAAAGAGCTAATGTGATCCTGGGATGCATAAACAGGAGAACGTCGGGTAAGAATAGATGTTATTTTTGGCAGTGGTGCAACCATTGCTGGGATAGTGTGTGTAGTTCTGGTGCTCACAGTTTAAGAAGGACGTTGATAAACTGGAGAGTAGTCAGAGAAGACCACACGAATGATTAAAGGATTAGAAAAATGCCCTATAGTGATAGACTCAGAGCTCAATGTGTTTAACTTAACAAAGAGAAAGATAAGGGGTAACTTGATTGCAGTCTATAAATATCTACGTGGGGAACAAATATTTAATAATAAGCTTTTCAATCTAGCAGAGAAAGATGTAACATGATCCAGTGGCTGGAAGTTGGAGCTAGACAAATTCAGACGGAAAATAAGGCATAAAGTGACAATAATTAGCCATTTAAACAACTTGCCAAGGGTTGTGGTGGATTCTCTATCACTGCCAAGTTTCAAATCAAGTTTGGATGTTTTTCTAAATGATATTCTCTAGGAATTATTTTGAGGAAGTTTTATGACCTGTGTTATACAGGAGGCCAGACTAGATGATCCCAGTGGTTCTCTGGCCTTGGAATCTATGAAAATTTAACAAGTGGGCAATGGAGGCTGGCATCATGAGCCGATGGAAGGTAGGAGTTGATTTGGCAAATTCCTGTGTTTTAGGAACTTCAGATACCGAAAATATGGTAAAATTATTTATGAAGACAATTTCAAAATACTCAAAATTTCAAGATTTTCAGTATTTAGTATTTATATAGTACTATTCTACTGTCTCCTGTCGCATCTCATCCGGTTTGTCTTTGACCAAACGTACATTGTGATCCACACATATGAGAGATTGTGCCTGTATAGAGCCACTCTGAAGTCAGTGGGGCTCCATGCAGGCACAGAAACCCACCCACATGGATCACTATGGTGCAGCCTAGAGAGAGAGGTGTAGAGAGAAACAATGGCAGTATGCTGCTGTTAGTAACAAGAATGGAGTGAGAAAAGATTAGAAAATAACACAGTTTATGTGTAATTTAACAAGAGTGAGCCACTTCTAGGCTAAAGTGGCGGCAACTCTATGCAAAAGTACTGCAGGGGTCTCAAAAAGTGGATGCTCACATTCCGTATCTACTGCATACAGATTTAGAGCACAGGTACAGTGGTTGGCTTTCAAATGTGAATTGTATATCTCCACTTTTATGTTAAATTTGATACTTTATTTTTTTATCACCAGGGAGGGGGTGCTTTAGAAACAAGCTTCTTTTTGCTCCTTTGGCAAGAGCTTCTGTTCTCTGGCAAATTACAGTCTAAGAGCTTGTCTAGGAGAACAGTTAAAGACAAATCTACAGTGCTAGTGTGCCACACAGTAACTCAGTGTGGATCCTGCTACTGCATGCCCTTTGATCTACTCTACTTTGAAATGGGAGTAGATCAAAGCACACTAGGGAACTTTTAGTGCACAGGAGCAGAGTCCTCACGGACAATTACTGTGTGGCATTCTAGTGCTCTGTAGATGTACACCTCAGCTTGCAGCGCACTGTTATCTAGATGAGCCCTAAGGCAGTTTTTTTAATGGTCAAGTTGCAAATGCAAAAGAGAGAAACTATAATGGAAATGTTTACACTTTTGATTATGGGCATATCTCCACTAGAAAGCTGTATCACTTTAACTATACAATCCCCTAGTGTGGATGCAATTATATCTGGGGGAAATGAGTACAGTAAATTTTTGTTAGATTTTTTTTAATGCAAATTGTCATTGCAAAATGTTACTAATTATAAGATCAGTATTATTGTCTTTTAGCTACTGTAAAAGCAGTATTGGGTACAGTGGTAGATGGTTATATAATCTGTATGGTATTTGCAAAATACATTTAAAAAACAGCAGCACCATAACATTTCTTTATTCTTTTAAGAGTGATGTGTATGTCTGGCTCAAAATTCTCAGTGAGCCTTATAATAAACAGGATTATTTAGTCAATGACCTGACTTTTTTTCTTTAAAATAGAAAAATAACTGAAGCTTTGTCCTTTCTGTGTTAAATAAGCTACTTCAGAGGTTAATTAATTACAAATATTGGGGCTTGCTTAATAGAATTTACAGGTAAGAATGGATTCTTACCTGTAAGTTCTACTTGTTGAATTCTACTTACTTCATGAAAAATCGTTTCAGAAAAAACATACAGATTTTTCCATTTTTATAGCAAGATTAAATTTAAACATCTGCCTTTGACACACTGCCTCTACACAGCCCCACTGAGAAGTGGTTTTCCTAGGCAGATACTAAAGGACCCATATTAAAGCAGTACTTGGCAATTGGATATGTGCACTTGTCCATCGGGCTCCATATATTGTGGGTATACATTGTTCGCTCCCTGTAAGGGTGTCTCAGTTCTCTCTGTACCAACCAGTGATCATGAATCAATCCTTTTGCTGACTTCTGTTTGTTAAAATTACTGTAAATAATGTTAGTAGTTTATATAGTGTTGAGCATCTTAATTTTTTTGTTGGTTTCCTTGGGAAATTCCCAGCTTCTGATGAGCACTGCTGAGTTTAGGGAAGGACTTTGTCTAAGGCAGTACATCTGTAAGTCTTTTCAGAAGAGGGATGAAGAGGCCCAACAGAATTTTCTAATTTTCGTTAGAACTTGCCTTTACAAGGGGATCTGGAAGCTCATGAGCCTGTTATCCTCCGCTAAAAAGGCACTGGAAGTGCAGTTTATTAAGCCTGCCTCAGTGTCAAAGTCTGATATCACATCACTGGATTTCAAAGTTGTCCTCTGGGTTATCATTAAAGAATGACAACATAAGCTAAATGACTTTATAAGTCTTAAGATCCAGTCACTCTGAATGGAACTGGAAAAAGCATTTTCCTGGGGTCTTTAGGTTAGAGGTTGTTCAGCACAGAGGAGAAGAGCTCTGACAGGACTTCAGCCATCTGATCTGCTCAGCCTTTATTGTGATTGGCCTTCCTGAATCCTAGGTTGTAGAGATGTGTCTCAGGTTCTGCATTAGATTGAGCAGTAATCCACAGTGTGGTTATAGACACCTTTCTCTTATATTTATGGGGGAAAGGAGCCTTTTATGAAAAAATGCTTTTTCTCCACTTATTCTTATTGCCAGGGTAGTGTGGAAGATTTGGCAGGAGAAAGCCAACATGGAACTGACAGACCTGGTTCTCAGGACATATTGCTCAGTCCATCAGATCATCCTTTCACTCTTTCTCTTGAGTCCGGATTTCTTGTCTCAGCAGAGCAGTTTATGCAGACTTCATGTCCCTTCATAGCTGTTGATTTTCAAAGCAAGATGACTTTACTTGTCTGAGGTGATCCAGTCAGTCAGAGATCAAAAAGCAGCCTCATAGGGGGTGACAAAGTTAGAACTGGCTTAAAATTGCTCAAGGCAGATGCTTTGACATGGTGGTTATCTGATTCCAATTGTCTTGGACTTTGTCCTATCTCTGGTATCACTGAAGCAATTCTTGGCAACTGTTCATATTTACATGGCTGCTAGTGAGAGTCAGCAATTCTTATGATAGTTCACAAAGAAGAAATGTCCTTAGGCTGCACCCCAAGTTTCTGACCAAAATTATATCTCATCTCAATAAGTCAGTTTCTCTGCCTGTGTTTTTTCCCCAGAGCCCAATATCTGCTGTTGGGAAGGAAAGTTGAGATGGTTAGGAACTCTTAGTTATTACACTATACTCCTGATTACCCAAATAGCAGGGGGGACACAGATTTCATTCAGATAATTGGGAGTTTGGACAAAATGGAGAGGGCAGGAGCTGTTCAGCAGTGGGGTGGCCTCCTTGGCTTCTGGGGGTGGCTCCTCCTCACAGTCCTAGCCAGAGGGTAGAGGGGGGTCTCCGCTTTTCCCCATTAGAAGTGCGGCCTTCTGCCTGCACCTTGCGCCTGCAGGGGTCAGGGATCACCAGCTTTGCAGTGGTCCGAGCTTTCTGCAGTTCCACTGTCATAGCACCACTTCACCCACTCTCATGATAGCAGAGCTGCATAGGGCTACCTGTGCTGCTGCAGGAGTCATTCCACATCATGGTGGCCTCCCCTGTGGCCAAGGTTTGTTGTCATCGCCCTCCTGGCCAGGGGTCTTTGCTCTATTATCAGAATCTCTGCATTATCCAAATCCCTTTCTTGGCCCCTAGCATAGATTCAGGCCCTCTGCAGCTGGGGGACAAGGAAGGGATTCAGATAATGAGGATAATAAGGTTTTGGCTAAATGGAGTATAATGTATTTAGAGGAAATTCAGACTATGAAGCCCAGTCATTAGAGGGGAGAAGAAAAACTCCTAAAAATCTCTGCACAGAGACTAGGTGGATGAGGTGCTACATCCAGTCATGTATGAAGTAGTTGATGTTCCCACATCTGAATGCCTTAGGATTTGCTCTGTGAGGAAATGGCAGCCGCTATGACACATCTCTTCTCTACTGAAGGGCTAGCAATGTTCCCCTGTTAGAAATCTGTAGGACTGCTGTGTGGACTTGGTTCACACGTTCTCAAATTGCTGTTCTCTTGACACTGCGTCAAGAGCAGATGCTGGTTTCAGAAGGACAATGCTTCAGTCATTGTATAACTAGCAGACGTCCTCAGACCTTCTTTTCAAGGAGGTCACTGCTAACTAGGGTGACCAGATGTCTCGATATTAAGGACTTTGTGTTATATAGGAACTATACCCCCTACTCCCGAAAGAGAGTCCCAATTTTTCATACTTGCTATCTGGTTACCCTACTGCTAACTAGTCTCTTAGAGTGGGACTCAGTGACAGAAATGTCCAGGATCAAGCAAAAGAGTTACCAAGGCAAACTCTTGTTCTCTAACTGTATTGCCTTCATAAAGCAACATTGATCCTCCCTCTTCCTCTCTGTTTCAGAGCCCAGCCCTTGTAGCACTTCTAGAGGTAAAGAGAAACTGAAAGATTGTTCAGAGATGGTGGGCTATTAGACTGTTGTGTAATATAGAGCTTGGGGGGACACGTGTACACACACACGTCAGTCCAGTGCTGCTTTAAAATGAGGGTTCTGTGGCCAAGTGGTTAAGCACGCTAATCCTGCGGTGAGGCTGTGAAGGCAAAACAGCAGATTTACTTTAGATAAAGTGCTCTTTTTACTCTTGATGAAAAGATAAATCAGGAAATAAAATTAATCACAGGGCTAAATGTATTAAAAGTACTGTTGCAACTCATTGGCTATCATTAATATAATCTTGTTTTTAATCTCTCACAGGCTCATGAGCGACTGGAAGATTCTAAACTTGAGGCTGTCAGTGACAACAACCTGGAGCTAGTGAATGAAATTCTTGAAGACATCAGTCCTTTAATAAACAAAGATGAAAGTATTGCAGAATTAGTTGGTATACTCAAGGAACCTCATTTTCAGGTATCATTTTTTTTCAGTTTGCATATTTAAATATGTTACCACTTAATGTATCAACATATGCATATTGATCTAACTAGAAGGAGTGGAAAAAATCATTTTAACCCCTCCAGCCAAATAAGGAGGAAGAATTTGGAAGAAACACCACAGTCTTTTTTTCACCAAGAGTAGAGTTAAAGAGAAATAGGATAAAACCAAAACGAAAAAAGACCACTTGGAGGGATTAGGTATATATGATGATTTCATTTTGATCAAAGCATATTATACATTCCTTGATATATTCTCAAATCTGTCTCTAGCCAAGCACTTGCAATTCTTTCTTCTCCTGGTCCAAATTTGCTGTGCTCAGGGGGATGATGTATATTACGTACAGATTTGACATCCTTTCACCTGGAAACTTAGTTCTGCACTGTCAGCTAAAGAATCTTTTTTTTTTTTTTTTAAAACTGGTCACACTGTTGCTCTTGCATACAGGGTTTTTGTGTTTTGGGGTTTTTTTTAACTGGACAGTTTTATGCTTCAAAAGTTACACAAGATCTAAAAGGATTTCCCTAACTTTTATTTTACTCTGGACTTTTTATCTTAAATTTGGATTTACTTTTCTCCACTGCTGTGGTGTGTTTGGCAGACATTTAACTACACCATTATTCCAGCATCCTATCTCTGACTATAGCCAGTAGCAGGCTATTCACAAGAAGGTGCAGGAAACCCCTTATTCGTAAGTCTGTGGCCTTCTCTCATCCCTCAGAAAAAGTTTCTTCAGGAAAGAGGTATTGTACATTTCTGCCTATTAAATCATTAATAGTCTAGGAATTGCACTTGATGTGAGCTATGCCCTCTACATATTCCCAAACAAAAAACTGTCAAAGCAGAGTTAAGGTTGAGCGTATGTATCACTTAAGGGGAAAAAACATAACCTGGATGATGATGTCCTACCAAAACCAAGCACTACAAAATCAGGAAATTCAGAGCTAAGGTAATACTTAAGCGATCCAAAATGTTAAAGTAAGAAATTCACAGTTATGGCACTGAAACCACCTTATCCATCATCTCTCATTCATCACCGAAAGATCAACTCCAGCCTCCCTGGCTCACTTGTTAAATTTTCAAACAAGCATCTTCTCCTATGTTGCCCCTTTCGCTTATGAGTTTTTCCCCCTAAATATCTGAAAAGCTAACTCATTATCTTCCTTAAGATTCCTCCTTTGGACTCTCCTCTGTGGTGTTATGTACAAAAGCTTGACAATGGTTAAGCTGCTAGTGTACTGAGCCCGCAGCTTCTTGCGCTGACCAATAATGTCCCTTGTGTCCTTGTACTTTCCTATAGGCTTGTCTGTATACCTCTATCATCTTTTCTTTCATTTAGATTGTTAAACTCTTTGGGGCAGGGAATGTCTTTGTTCCGTGTGTGTACAGGGCCTAGCACAGTGGGGTACTGGCCCAGGACTAGGGCTCCTAGGTACTGTGATCATACAAAAAATAATAACCTTAACTCTGCCCTGTAGTAACATTGTTAGATTATTATGATTAAGGGATCTTAGCATTTTGTGCCACCACATTAGGTTAAACTGATTTTTAAAGAGCATATTAGAATATTTTTTCATAATTTACCCCTCGTGGTGTCATGAGGATTCTGACTCTCCCTTTGCAGAGATTCCTACACAAAAACCCACTTACTCAAGTTTTGAGCAGAGGACCAGGTAAAAGAATAGCTCCCAGTCCTGTAACTGCCAGGTTCAGTCACAAGCAAATTGGTGGCAGCAGTTAAAGCAAATTTTTGCTGGCCCTTCAAGAGGCTCCCAGGAACCTGTAGCCCCTATCTTCTGCTTCCACAGCTGGACCTGAAGTTCCTTTTTCTCTGTTATGTCTGTTTCGCTGTTTCCCTGTTTGTGGCACACAGGCTCCTGAAGCATCCCATGTGAGTTGCTTGAAGGCCTCTGCTTTCTGTGTCCATGCTCTGGTAGGCCTCTGGAAGCTGCAGCATTCGAGTAGTACAGCCTGGCCTAGCTACTGGTCCTATCCTCTGCCTACCCCGGCTGTGCATGTGGCCCTACCAGAGCCACCATCCATGGTATCTTGTACTCTGCTTTTTCTATCCAACTACTTAATGTGATGCCTGTCAGTGGCCTTGCCTGTGACTAGAACTCCAGGATGTCTTTTTGTGAAATAAACTGCCACTATCCTACTTTAAGGCGAGGTAGGATTAAGGGCCATTCTACTCCACCAACTTGTCAAGGGCCCATATTTCCTCTCCCTGCCTCTACCAATGAGACTCCCCTGAGCTCCCTTTCTGACGGAGCCTGGTACTTCCATCTCATGGGAGTGAATTATTGCCAGGTTATACAGATGTGGGTTGGAGTACCCTTCTTGTTTCCATGTTTTCCACGTAGGCCTGAAGTCACTATAATCTGTCCCCTAGAGTCTGGTCTTTTGCTTTGTCCAGCAAACCTAGATTTATGTTGATTTTTCATAATTGTTAGAAGATTAGATTTTTTAACGAAAGGTACCTTAAAACTATAAAGTAAATTGTTTTCCAAAGGTATTCATTATAAGATTTCAATATTTGTTTGTGTGTCCATGTATGTAGACTGGGAAGAACTCCTTTAGTTCAAAGTTCTGATCACTTGTTTCCAGCAAGTGGAGTTACCTCAGTTTACATATATCCCAAATCATATATGGGACTATAATTCAGGTTCTTGTAAGTAGAAACCACACACTTCTTGCAAAATCACTAGAAACTCTTATAAACCTAGGACTTACAATTCTGCGTAGTTTTAGCTTTTTAGTGGGGGATTGTTCATTTTTTACTTCCACCACTTTGTGTTCATGAGCCTCCAGGAACCTAATGTGACTGCTCAGATACTTCCTTATTAGTCAAAGAAGAAGAATATTTTAGGGTGTCTGCACGCACGTTCATGCGTGAGAGTTCACCTGGTCCTATTCGACCCCATATTTACTCTGTCTCCTACAACTGCTTACAGTAAATAGTGTTTATGTGAGTAGTCCCATATTTGTTCACATAGTATGGTGATTAAGTCATGTAAATACTTACTCATATGTCCCAAAGAAGTCTATTTAAGTGTTACTGTATTCTAAACAAAACAAGGGTTGCAAAATCTAGGCTTAAAGGTTTTGTAGCAACTTATTTAGGTACTGAATTGTCATTTAATAACCAATACCTTCCATAGATATTAATAGTAAACCTGCTTTATTCACTCTTCATTTACAGTCACTCTTGGAAGCCCATGATATTGTGGCATCAAAGTCTTATGATTCCCCTCCTTCTAGCCCAGAAATTAATAGTTCTTCAGTGAACAACCAGGTAGTACCAGTAGATGCCATTCGTATACTTGGTATTCACAAAAGAGCAGGGGAGCCACTGGTAAGTAAATGTAATTAGGTGTTCTGTCTTTCACCTAAACAGTAAGAGAAATATTTTTGATGTTTTGAATTTTCTACATTGTTCTTATTATTTCTCTTTATTCATACTGGTGTTTATAATTTTTATATTGAGTAATCCCATTGATTATAATGTGCACTATAACATTTTCAAAATCAGTTTGACAGGAGATGCAAGAATGAAAGGCTAAAATCTGAAGATACATGACCATTCTCCCACACTTTTCTCTTCAAGGACAAATGATGACCTTGTCATTAGGCAGGATGATATGCCTAGCATAAGTGATATGAAGAAACTTTTTTTGAATATTTGGTCCTATTAAGGAATGACAGAACTTAGTGAAATCAAGAGCAAATGATCTGACCGGTGTATGCTTACGTATCAACTTCCCGTCCGGAGTACATATGATTTGCATTTATTTCACTTGGACCATGCATATTTATTACATAATACAGTGCAATAATGTCAGTATGTTAACAATTTGTTCTGTGGTCACTATTAAAAAGTCAGCAGTAGTAGTAATTGTTAGAACAAAATTTAAGGTGAAACTCAAACAGTGATATTAAACTAAGTAATGGTGTTACTCAATGCTTCCTTTAGGGTGTTACATTTAGGGTTGAGAATAATGATCTAGTAATAGCACGAATCTTGCATGGCGGAATGATAGATCGACAAGGACTTCTGCATGTGGGTGACATCATTAAAGAGGTGAATGGCCATGAAGTTGGAAACAATCCAAAAGAACTACAAGAACTACTGAAAAATATTAGTGGCAGTGTCACTCTGAAAATTCTTCCCAGTTATAGAGACACTGTTATTCCTCAACAGGTCAGTAACATGATATTTTCATTGCTTCTGCCAGAAAACGTTTTATTTAGTGGTGTTATAATAATCTTATGTATTATAAATTACTGAAGGAATGGAAACAAAAGACTTCTCTCTATTTTGTTTTCTTACTTTGTGCATTTGACTGCACTCTTTGTATAGTCACTTTAACTCTTCCCCTGCATAGTCAGTCAGTTTCCCCTTTGTCTGGGTCTTTCCCATACAGTAGAAGAGGAAGAAAAAAGATTGTTTTAAAAGAGAAAGGAATATATAACTAAACCCACAAAAGTTAACACAGGGGCTGAAGTGTAAGTGTAGTATCTTTAATTCTCTTTAAAAAGAACTAGATTAAGTTGTCCTTTAAATGATAGACACAGGATATATCATGTAATGTAAAGCTGCTATATAGCTGGCTGAAATTTTGAAAAAAATGAACATTTTGAAGAGTGACAATTTTTGGATTAAATTTTGAAGTAATTTTTTTTTACTGTTTTTGACTGTGTTTGCTACCATTTTCTCATGTAAAACAATGAGGTACAGGTATTTCCTTCTCTTCGTTTGGAGCATTTGGTAGTAAACACAGATACTGCAGATAAACTGGAGAATATAAATATCTGGCCCCATAGATACCATGGTAATTGGTGTCTTAAAATGCCTCCTACTGCTTCTTAATGAGGTAGGTTGCTTCAAATATTAAAAGATGGTCAAATAAAGGAAGGTTCACATAACAGGATTTTAACCAGACAAAACCTGATGAGTATACAACTGAGCTATGGATTCTTTTTTATTGAGAAACATAGCACATAAAGAGTGTGCTTAATGTTATATGGTATTCCTTTACTAATATAAATAACATTTTGGTCTTAAACTTTTGTTCTGGGAACGTGTGCCCATTTCATATGTTTATATCTGTCCTCTTAAGTCCTTCATATTGACACATAGGATAGTGTAAAGACCTTTTAGCCAATTAACAAAGACGAAGGTTTATTTGCTTTATAGTGAGCATAAAGCTGGGGTTGCATGTGCCTCACTATCCAATAATTCTAATTTGATTTCATACCAAGAATTCCCTAAATCCCTCACATCTTCATATTTCTGTCAATTGAGTGGTAAAAGTAATAGTCCTTTGCATCTGCATAATGTCTCTTTATTAGAAGAGCTCAGCTGCCTTAAAAGGATGGGTAGGTAGCAGTTTCTCCATTCACAGATGGGGAAAGTGAAGTACAGAGAAATTAAGTGACTTACTCATAGTCACTCAACAAGTTTGGTGAAGGGTCAGCACACTAGAACAGATACTGTATCCTAACCTGTATGAGAGAGCCACTCTTCTGGATTTGCGGTTTATATAGATTTCTGGTAGATCCATGTTAACGTTCTGCAAATACAGGTTCTTGTCCTTCCATGATACCTACAAATAGGAAGTTCTATATAAATGCTTAGTACTGTTTATTTAATGGGTGTTTCAGGTTCTAGCATATCAAAAAGCTGTATTGCTGAGCTTAAGAGATCCAAACAGTATAATACAATGCAAAATAAATCTCGTATTGTTCCACATCCTATCCTGGCTTTTATCACATATTTATCCACCAGCCAAATTCCCTTTTAGGGCAGTTGGCTTCATAAAGCCAATAAACTTAGTTAACTAAGTTGTGAATGCAAACAGAGTAGTATTTTAGTACTGGCTTTCTGATTCTACTAGTAGTGACCCATACATATTCTAACAATTTGTGCACTGATTGTGAATTCCTACAACACAGATTACAAAGTGGGGTGTGTCTGTTCGTGGCATTACCCAGGGTGCAATCTGGACTGTTGAACAGCCGTGTCCCCTCAATTGTCCAGCCTGGGGTGCCTTTTATATTGCTCACGCACAGCCTCCAGCATGTAAATTACTCCCAGCTATCCTGTGTGAGTGCTGTGGCGAGCCACTCTTGAATTACACTGCAGAACAACACCAGTTCCAGATTTCCCCCCAGAAATGTGCATCTTGTACTGCCGAGCCCTCTCCTGGACAACACAAGCTCATATAAAGTCGTTCATTTTATTAATAGAAAATGATATGTACAAACCCTGTTACCTCAAATGAAGTTTCCAAAACACTTCAGTCCAAGCACACTGGTCTAGATAAAACAATAAAACAAGTTTATTAACTACAGAGAGATTTTAAGTGATTACAAGTAATGAGGCATAAAAGTCAGAATTGGTTACAAAGAAATGAAAGGCAAAACGCAACTAATACCTAACATAATCAGCTAAGTGAATTCAAAGCTAGGGTCTCTCTCATCACATGTTCTAGAAGTCTTACTGGCTGAGTCTTTCCGTCAGGATCTCTCCTCCTCGTCCAAAGCTATTTACTTTGTTCTTCAAGTGTCGTCGATGTCGTGAGTAAAGATGAAGGGAGATTTGGGGGTGTCTGTTCCCCATTTTTATATCTTGTTCTCTTCTTTGAGAATCAGGAGACAGAAAGTCTGTGGGGATGGGAACCTCCAGCTATTTCTTTGCAAGATGTAAATTTCTCTCACCCTTTTTTCTGCCAAAGAATGGCCACTGAATCAGGTGATGGTCTTTTTCATTTTTTTGACACCTGATTTGAAACATTAGTTTGCCTTTTGTCTCTGAGGAACTGGTTTGTGGTTGCTATTAGTAATATCATAGAGTAGAATCATATAACGTTGCATACAATGTTGCCACACGTATTTTACCTGGATAATAATGACCAGCAAATTTTGAGTTTTCAAATAATACCTCACAAGGCATACTTTGTCCAAAATGTATCATAGTCTTGAAAAAGGAATGAACGCAGGGGTACAGACTATCACGCTCTTGTAAACCAGTTTGCCTGTCAAGCCCTGAAGGCTTTATATATTCTGTTATAGCCTGATTTCTATATGTTAGGAAAATCAGGCTTTCTGCTGCAATTCCTGTATTTTTTATTTTGTTTAAAATCTTGAGCTGAAACAAATGCCCAATTGTCAATTTTTGGTAATAGATGATTTTCTTCTTTTGTCTTTTATTTTTTGTGGAATTGTAAATGTCAGTAACTGAATCTTATTTGTATATAGTAAAGAAAAGAAAATGGACATATTTAACAATTAAGAGTTGAGTAAGATTAGTCTCTTGATCCACCATGTCTTCTCTTACTTGAACACTTCTTTTCCTTTTCAAAATCCACGTTTCACATGTATATCTATAGTTAATTTAAGTAACTGGAATTTTATTCATTGGGGGTAAAGAGGGCTGAAGAATGCACCTTTATTTAAGGTGCTATACACAGAACTCTCACTCTTGGGTATCATGTTCCCTTGAGCAACTGGTGTTACTCCTTACCAAAATAATCAATACCTCATTTAGGAAGGAATCTTTCCTTCCTCCTTCAGATATACAATAGTTCAACCTCCATTGAAGAAATCCACTTTAGGTACTTCAGATTTAGCTTAATTACCAGCCAGTATCAAATCTTTTGTTCCTGAGCATAGTCTTAGAGAAGAAAAAGGCCAATTTACAAGCCCAGGACCTAGGATCAAAACTGCTTTAGTGGCACTGATGAATGACCTCCTGCTGTGCATGGTTGGAGAGCAGACATCCATTCTGATCCTCCTGGACCTTTCTGCACCATTCAGCACTGCTGATCATGAGATACTGCTGTCCCATCTAAGAAAAGAAACAAGGATCCATAAGAATGTGCTAAAATGGTTTAAGTCCTTTGTCAAGGGACGCACTCAAAGCACAGTGATGTGAAGCAGCATCTCTGCCACCAGGTCCCTCATTTGTGGAGTACTACAAGGATAAATTTTCTCTGATCTAGGCAAACTGGTGAGAATTCATGGATTCAAGTGCCAACAATATGCAGATGAGACACAACTTCTACTTCTCCTTCAGTACATGTGGTTATCAAGATCAGCTAACGGATTAAGAACAGCTGATTGAACTTGAACCTAATCAAGATAAAGATTATGCTGATTGGCAGCAGAAAGCACTTTTGGGAAGCTTTGAGTGCAGTTTCTTTTAGTTAAAAGTACATATGCACAATTGGTCAATTCATTCCATAGTTTAGAACTGCTGCTGGATTTTTGGCTGACATAGTCTCACATAGCAGCATCCATGAGTAACACTTGGCCCTCAGTTATATGTTGCCCTTATCTTCTGTTTGGATGATCCAATGGCTGGAAGTTTGAAACTAGACAAATTCAGCCTGTAAGTAAGATGTAAATTTTTAACCATGAGGGTATTAGCCATTGGAACAATTTACCAAGAGGGGTGGTGAATTCTCTGTCAATGACCATTTTAAAATCAAGGTTGGATGGTTCTTCTGAAAGATCTGCTATAGGAATGATTTTGGGTAAGTTCTATGGCCTGTGTTATACAGGAAGTTTAGAGTAGAGGATCACAATGGATCCCTGCTGTCCTTGGAATCTGTGATTCCAGCAACAAAATATACCTGGACATGAAGCCATCAGACTTTAGGAAACTTCAACTACTACAACTTCTCCTCAGCAACACAGACTACAGTGAGCACATCAGACCTGTCATCTCTCTACGGTGGCTTTTCATAGAATATAGAGTCAAATTCAAGGTCTTGATCCTTACCTTCAATGCACTTATGGCTTGGGTTCAGGATATCTAGAAGATCACCTAAAGTTCAGAGATGAGGATCGCTGTTGACAGCTCTGCTCCTGAGGCACAACGGTGCTTTCTGCTGCAAAGGTAAAGCTCGTTTGTGCAGGAGACAGTTGTTGTGGGAGCAGAGCCAAGACTGTGGAACACTCTCCCACAGGAACTGAGAACTGTCACAAACCTCACCACTTTCCACTCCAAGTGCAAGTTATGCTGCTGTGGCCATATCTTAACTAAAATAAACATATAAACGTACACATATTTTAAAAAAACTGCCACAACTGAACACTCTATATTGCCACACAATTTTTCCTCTGGGGGATGATCAGAGGATGAACCACATTTTAAAGATGTTAGTCATATCACATAATGTGTTTCTGAAGCACCTC